CAGGTCATACAAAATTATCAACTTAAATTAGCCTGCTTTATTTGATCAAACAAAAACTCACTCCTAAAGTGATGGCTTCAACTATGGTTGCCTTGGCAGGCCTTGACCAAATGATTTCAAGGGCCTGGTGTGGCACTGTGGGTTAATGTGCTGGATTGCAAAATCAATTTGAACTGCGAAGTCGGTGGTTCAAGCACACCATCCGCTCCTCAGAAACCCTATACAGTATTGCTGTGGGTCAGAATTGACTCCACATTACTTAACAACAACATACAGCCCATGGGCTGTCCGTTCCCCACCCCTGGGATAGGGGAATGATGAAAAATCATGAAGGGAGTACATGTCTTGCTAACAGGACCGTTCTCCAAAAGTGGAATTCACCTTAAGAGATTTCTTAACATCGTAAAAAAAATTTTTTTTCGCCTTTGGAAACAAAGTGAAAGCTGGGCTGTGAAGGTGAGAGCTTACCTGTGAGCTTGAGGGAATGTGTGGCCACCCATTTTTGGGAAGGGTTCTAGCCAGTGTTGTTACAAGTCTCAGAATTATGAACATCCTCCAAGAGATGTTCCATTCCATTCCAACATCCATTCATGTACGAGAGAGATGATTGCTCCAAACAGTCCTATCTTCCCAGACTGACTTCCACTAGCACCGGCCATTTTCCTTTTCCTTTCAGTTTGGTTAATGTGTTCTGAGTCTGCAACTCCTCCAATCCAAACTCCCTCCATCTTACACCAACTCCTCTTGTTCTGTTCTTCGGGGTTCTGTTTAGTCAGTGATAACAAATTATGAGGAGAGACAGGAAAACAAATAGCAAGCTTATTTGAACTAGCATCGTGTAATTTTACATAAGCTTATATAAACTTTGGACGTCCAGTCCCTGGAGGATATCATCCTAAGTGAAGTGGAGGTTCAGCAAGAAAGAGGAAGACCCCCAATCAGATGGACTGGCATAGTGGCAGCAGCAGTGGACTCTAGCTTCACAATGATGGTGAGGATGGTGCAGGACTGGGCAGTGTTTCATTCTGTGCATACGATTGCTATGAGTCGGTATCAACTTGACAGCACCTAACAACATACAAAGTGGAAGCAAAATGACACCTAGGTCTCTGCTGCTTTTGGAATGTGAATGTGTCTTTAAGCAAACTTACCTTTTAAAAAAGATACCACACTCCTTTTCAGTGGCCTAATTAGTGAGAGAACATGAAACCCAGAAGTAGACAGAGGCTGTATTATAAGGACAATATATTCAGGACTGTGTAGAATCTTTATGATGATGGTCCTCTATATAGTAGTATTCAACCTTTTCAGTGGCTCTTGGCAGTTTATCTAATTTCATGGGAATTAAGACAGCAAGTTTTAAGAATTAAGAAGTAAGACATCAAGTTTTTCCCTACCTTACTTAGTGTACCACAGAACTCTGTTTAGTTATAATCTTAAAATAGATCAAAAGGCACTTGACCACAAAGTCAGTTTGAACTACGAGATAGGCAGTTCAAACTCACTAGCAGCATCTCAGAAACACTATCCAGGCTTGCTGTGAGTCGGAACCTACTACATGGCACTCATTTATCAGTTATGTTGTAGAAGCCCTGGTGTGGCACTGTAGGGTAAGTACTACACTGTTTGACTGCAAGGTTGGTGGTTTAAATCCATCAGCCACTCCTTAGAATCCCTATTTAGGGTCACTGTGAGTTGTAATGGACTTAATGGCATGTAACAAATTATGTTTTAAGAACCACCGGTGGCACAGGTTAAAGAATTCAGTAGTGAACTAAACTGTCAGTGGTTCAAAGCCATCACTGGTGCAAGATATGGTAGGCTATCAACTTACCACCTTAGAAACCCTATGGGACATTTCTTCTCTGTCCTATAGGGTACTGAGTTATACTCATCTCCATGCTTGTGGGTTTGGGTGGTTTTTCAGCTCCAACCCACATTACATAGAAATTCTGAAAGGCTTAATATTCAGGTTGGGAGCCAGTGCAGCTATTTTGTGGGGTTATTTCTAGTTCATATTAGTTCCAACCTGAAGGGGCCAGTGAAGGGTAACATATTGCCTTAAAGAGATTTTTAGGGCATTAAGTTCAGTGCAGCATGAGGATAGGACCTTCTTGAAACTGCGTTTTCAGTCATCTCACCACGTTAATAGATCCAGTCTGGGCATCCTCGCTTCTTATGATTCTCATTTCAGCGTTGAAGTGTATTTACCTATGTTTATTGCCATGGGGCTTGACCTATTGGGCATTTGGGGCCCCTGCCTACCTGGTACATGACCCAAATGCCATGCTCTTAGCTTTACAACATATGCAACTTCCTCATAATCCAAATGTCAATGAACAGTTAGATTTTTACTTTAAGAGACTCAAACACTTCCAGCGGGAAATCAGCTTTAGGTCTTTGCCTGTTGCGCTGGATTTGGTTTGTAGTTTTCCTATATAGTGCCAAAAAGTTGCATGATTGTTAAAAGATCTGAACCAGATATTCAGATAGGCAGGCAATTTATATGCCCACAGTTCAGAATGACCTCATTGAACGTAGTTTCCAGGATGTTGTGAGAGCCTGTCCTGCTGAAGGATCTTGTCTTGTAATATGGGATGACAGTGGCTGATGTTAGTCAGCAATAAAGTCTGACCTGAATTTCAAAACAACAGGCCAGTTGCTTCAGGGGAGATATAAATTACATATTATCTTGTATGCCAAAAAGATGGAGCAGTCCTCATAGCAGTTTGATCCTTGGATCAAGTCACATAGATTGAAATTAGATTTGCTGCTGTGGGGTAGGTGTTGGGCTGCTGACGGCAAGGTGAGCAATTCAAACACACCAGCCATTCCCAGGTACAAAGATGAGGCTGAATGGAAAACCCAGGTAGCTAGGAGTTACAATTGACTCTGTGGCAAAGAGTTTGATTTCGGTTTCGTACCTCAAAGAAAACTATCATGGGTATATTGAAAATTTCAAGGGAACTAAGGCTTTCATTCCCCTTCATAAATACGATAGGAAGTTCTGTACGTTCCCCAGCTGTCTTTCTGTGTACCTTGCTGTCATTCTTACTTTGTCTTGGCTTCTGGGTCTGGTGAGCAGGATTAGGTCAAGGTCTTAACATTTCCAGCCCTGGTTTGTCTGGGACAAAGCAATTGTCAGTATAATCAGAAGACCCAAAACCTACTGCCACTAAGTCAATTTCAACTTCTAAAAATCCTGTAAGACAAGAGTATAAATGCCACAGTTTCCAAGGCTGTAATCTTCTTGGATCCTGACTCCCCCCCGCCCCCTATCTTTCTCCTTCAGAGTGGCTGGTGGGTTTGAACCTCTGACCTTTTAGTTAGTGGCCATGCATGCACTTAACTTCCATGCCACTGTTGTTAAGTGCCATATACTCAATTTTGACTCATAGCAACCCTGCAGTGTTTCTGAGGCGTGATTGGTAAGCTTGAACTGCCGACCTTGCAGTTCAAACCGACCTTGTAAATCCAGCACATTAACCTGCAGCTCCTTTAATTGGATGGTATTAATAGGCATAGTACAGTTTTGTAGGTGGTTTTTTTTTTTCTGGGTCATTTAAGGACAGTTCCCATGAGCCCCTGAAAACAGTTTATTTTGCTAGAGATCTATTCACACAGAGTTTAATGAGAAATTAACAGCCTAAAAGAAAGTTAGAAGTCATTCAAGGGGTTGTCCTAATCTCTGTAGATAAACTTCATTAAGCAAATACAGTATGAACTTTGAGCATCAGAAATTACTGGAAATCAGGGGTAATCACTTTTTTTTAAAGAGTCACTAATTATGAACTCCCTAGTACTCGTAATCATTTCACTGGTTAAATGAAGTTCATTTGAAAGAATCCTTTTTTTTTTTTTAATAGACCATGGCCATGTTCTTTAGACAGAGATGGAAGCTTTAGGTATTAAAGTGTTGTTAGTTCCGATTCATAGCAACCCTGTACTAATCTTCATGGAAGCAGAAAGGCTCATCTTTGTCCCGTGGTATGTCTGGTGGGCTTAAACTGTGGACCTTGTGGTTGCAGCCGTGCTTATTATATGAAGCTACCACACTACCTTTTTAGTGTTGTTGTTAAGTGCCGTTGAGTTGATTCCAACCCATAGCGACCCTGTATGGGGTTTCCAAGGTACAGCTTGTGAGCTTGAACCGCCGACCTTGCAGTTCAAACAGCTCTGCAGTCTGACGCATTAACCTACAGCGCCACACCAGGACTTCATAAATATGCAACCATTGTCATTATTTCATTCCTGATTCCCTTCTCCTTTCACAAAACACAAAATAGGTACCCAAAGGAATTCTGGGAGGAAAATGTGACTTTAATTTAGTATTCTAAACAGTACTTTGTTATCCCAGACAGCCCCTATGTTAACGTTCCAATAACACAGTGACTCCATAAAACTCTTCATGTATAAGAGGTGCTGTACAGAAATTCAGAATATTTTTCTACTTGGGAATTTTGAGTCAGCATACCTTGGTTTCTTTTTTCATCTTTCTTCCTGGTTATTTTGTCTTCAGTCTGGCTGACAGAGAAAGTAGCAGAAGATCAAGGCTGTAAAGGAATTTATTTGAGTGGAGATTTGGAAGCTGAGGAAATGTATCTAACTTGGCAGTCTCAGGCCTTTCCTGAGAAGCCTGGGGGCAATAATGCATATTCAATGACTGTTGCTGCTAGTATTACTATTATTATTCTCTGAGGCCAAGTCTTATTATTGCCAAATGTCACGTGCTTTGTTCTCTAGCTTTAGTGGATTGGCTTTTTCTCTGGCTAAAAACATGTAGCTGTTCCATTTCTATGCCTACTCATCCAGTAAACATCACCGATGTGAAACTAGGTGTGTGCAAGCCGAGTGAAGGTAATAATTTCTAATGTGGGTATCAATCTTAAATTTAATACCAGAATTTGGTTCGTTTTTAGAATAACATACTAGAAAAATTCTAGGGTATGTCATAACTGAATGCTAAAACTCTAAAACTAATTTCCTTAATATGATTTTAGATAATGTTTAACTTGGATAAAGTACACATCATTTTGGATGAGATGGTGTTAAATGGCTGCATTGTAGAAACTAACCGAGCAAGAATTCTTGCCCCTCTACAAATTCTTGATAAGATGTCAGAAAGCTAAATAATGGAAGAGTCCACCAGATAACACCGAATGCACAGGAAATGCAAGTACCATGGTATATCTCTCAACATCTGTAGCCCAAAAGAATCTGAAGACCACACATTATAAAACAGAAAACAAAACTGTATTTTAAAATATGAAGAAAAATTTTATCTAAATTAAGAAACAAGTTTTATTTTCTAACATTTTACCTTATGTTTTTCGGACTTCAAATTTTATTGAGTACCAAATGAACCGTTTTTGGTCTCTGCTTCTTTTTTCAAGTTAAATAAAGAAACAGGAAGGGAGAGTAGGAAGAACATGTGGCAGCTCTCTGTAATTGACTTAATCACATATAATATTTTCAGTAACATTTTTTTCTGAATGTTGTCTTTCCTAAGGAAGTCTTAAAATATGTGGAAGCTTCAAAAAAATTAATGGAAAATGGAATTAAAGTATAATAGAAATTTCCTACCAACTTTTGCTTCTCGGTCACCAGAACTGCCTTAGACAGAAGCATGTATGTTAGGGGCGGGAGGGCAAGTGCAATGGAGGAAGTGGAGACTGACCGTGTCTTGGTACATGAAGACATTGTACCATTCCATGGAGTTTCCCAGAGTCCTTTCATTTACACTTGATTCTCCAAAAGAAACTTTCTAGGTACTGACATTGCATTCAGCATGGTGTTTACAGGATTTTTTTTTTCGTCTCAGTCTCTTTCTAATATGTGTGTGTGTGGTGGGGAGCATTTTATTTTGTACTTTCTATCATTTTGTAAATATCTATTTACATGTTTCAAAATCGGCATAACACATAATGAAAAGCAAAACTGAACTGTTTTGGACTCATTCAAGAAGACAGAGGGAAACAGAGGGAAGGCTTCTGACCTGTGGTTACAGTGAATGGTATAAACTGATGAGTCAGAACCGACTCGACAACACTTAACAACAAATTAAGCAGCCAAAGTTCTCGGGGAAACCCAGTCTAGATCTAAAATGCTTCTGAGATATATTAGTTGGAAAACACTGTCCTAGTTGGTAGGCACTTTATCGGTAGTGTATTCAGGTAACAGCTGAAACTGGTACACCAGAAGTAGCTAGGGAATGAACAAAATTAATTTTGGGGTCACACCAAAATAGTAGTTGAATTACATCTTGGCACAGATTTTAGTACCTTGAGAGTATAATACCAATTAAATGTGTATATGATAGGTACCACATAAAAATTTTCAAAAACTTAGTATATGTGGGGATCCCAGTAGTTCTATAATACAAACTGTAATGTGTCTGTAATCTGTTCTATAAACTGTCATATCACAAAAGATCTTGACATTTTAAACCATTTTCAACTTTATATGTCTGATCAATTTCCTTGCTATAGTAACTTGCTAGACCAGGGGTCAGCAAACGTTTCCTGTAACAAACAGAAAGTAATTGTTTTATTAGACTTTGCAAGCCATATAGTTTTTGTTACATTACTCAATTTTGCCCTTGTAATACAAAAGCAGTCATAGATTAATATAAAAATTAATAACCTTGGCTGTTCTAGTAAAAATTTATTTGTGGACATTGAAATTTAAATTTCATTTTATTTTCACACATCAAGAAATATTTTTCAACTGTTTAAAACATTTTAAAATCACATTTAGCTTAGCTCATGGGCCATACAAAACCAGGTAATAGGCTAGTTTGCCAACCCCTGTGCTAGGCTAGTTTTTAAATCCATGGATGTTCAAGCTGGCTACTGACAAATATTTTAGAGACTTTAACAATGGCAATACTTCAACATGTAAACTGGATTTTGATGCTAACATTAGTCATACATCCATGAGTTGATTTGAGAAAAACCAACACCACTATTTTTTGATTAAAGCATAGGTCATACATTTCAATACGACTATTTTTTATTTTAACTTTTTCTCACAGAGAACTGTGAAGCTGACAATGAAGTGAAATATTTAAATGCTGCCCCTGATTACAAAGTCACAACATTCTCATGCAGCAAATAAAAACAGTACTCAAATCATTGATTGTAGTGGGAGTTAACTCTTCTAATGTAGAAAGGGAACATACCTCTTAAACAGGTAAATAATGGGCAATTTCAAAACATGCTTTGGCTCCTAAGAAAGCCAACTGGCTAAATCAGGTATGATGACATTTCTTTCACCTATATGCACATATATGGTAACCAAAGGAATTTGGAAAATGTGTAAATACAGCCCTTCTTCAAACTCAGGAAATAGCAATTTCCTGATTGTTTCTTTCACATTAAAATAACATTAAAAAATCCAGCTGGATCTTAGACTTACATATCCTGCAGATACAATGGTAAGCAGTGGATCTGGTGCTTATAACAGTAATACAGATAACTTGGCTGTTTCCCGCTGATGAACATTTTAAGACTAAACACAACAGTTGGATCACAATTAAGCATGAAACATATATTTCTTCTGAACCTTCTACTTTCAATGAATGTACTAATTATAGAAAAATACATTTCATGTGATAATTTCAGAAAGTCAAATCTTAGTAAGTCAAAATTAAAAAAGTATCTGGTTAATAAGCTCTTAGGTGATGAGTGGCAGTGAAATAGTCACATGACGCAATTTTGTACGCTGCAAACATTTTAATGATTATTGTTGAGCATACATTTGGAAAATTTTTACTTCAAACTGCAACAAGTTAAATAAATGTTTATAATATACAAAGAAAATACAACCAAAAGAAAACCTTGCATTAAGTGTGCCTTGCACCTAAGACCAGTGTTGTTTTCTCCTCCCACTTAATATATCTTTATTTTTGAGCTGCACAAACACACTTAAGAACTTGATCTTTATAAGTATGGCATTTAGGAAATAAAAACATACTCCCACCTCAAAGAAATAAAAAGGCTGTGCATGATTATATGCCAAACAAATGAGAGAATACTAGAATACTCTGATAGTGCAGGCATCATTAAAAAGGAAAAGAAAATGCTTGAGATGTTCATTAACTCTCTTGGGTTTTAAGGAAGCAGGATTTTTGACCAAGTAGCTTAAAAAGCCAGCAAAACAGGGATCAGTGATGGCAACTGTAGTGTATGGAGTATGAAATGACAAACTTTACACAAATACACTGTTAGAAATGTACCAGTGAACACTGAAGATCTGAGAAGCTGCTCTTTGGAACAGTTAAGTAGGACCACCATATTCCAGTCACATAAGCCCTTGTAACAACACACAGTGTTCTGTGCTATATACTTGCTGGCTGGGTAAAGGATTTGTTTTGTCATTAGCAGCTAACAAACTTAATCCACATTCATAAAGCCTTAAAGGTGGAAAAAAGGCAAGTGTCATCGGCATGGAGGATCATATACTTCTCTGCACACAAATAGGAGAGGCTTCACTAGTATTTCAAAAGTCTCTGATGTCTTCATTGCACTTCAAAGATCAATTGAGATGAAAACCTTTCTCCATGGTAGCAGCTAGCAGGCGCTCTCTCATGATCTCCTCAGAAGAATATTCAGGCAACTTAAGATAATGCACACAAGTATTCACTGATGGATAGCTTGCATCAGTAGCATCAACCTATAAAAATGAAAATAACAAAACATCATGATTGTAAATACTTCTTTTAATTCTTAAATAGCCAAATGCTGTATGGATTTCCCGTTAGCTAGATGTTTTGTAAGGACCTCTGGTAGCGTAGTGGTTACTGCTAACCTTAAGGTTGGCAGTTCGACACTACCAACAGTTCTGCGGGAGAAAGATGAGGCTTTCTGCTCCCATAAAGACTTACAGCCTCAGAAACCCTGTACAGGGTCACTATGAGTCGGAACCAACTCCACTGTACTTAACAACAATATAGTAATTAAGGAGGTCTGGTAGCGTTGTGGTTACGAATCAGGCTGCTAACCTCAAGGTCGGCAGTTCAAGACTAACAGCGTTTCCGCGGGAGAAAGATGAGCCTTTCTGCTCCCATAAAGATTTGGAGCCTCAGAAACCCTGTGCAGGGTCACTATGAGTCGGAACCAACTCCATGGTACTTAACAACAACAACAAATAGTAATTAAGGAGCTCTGGTATCATAGTGGTTATGAGTCGCGCTGCTAACCTCGAGGTCAGCAGTTTGAAACTACCAGCGGTTCTGCAGGAGAAAGATGAGGCTTTCTGCTCCCGTAACGAGTTACAGCCTCGGAAACCCCGTACAGGGTCACTATGAGTAGGAATCGACTCCACGGTACTTAACAACAACAACAGCTGCTTTATACCTTGCGTACAACAGTGAGCCTGGGATGGAGGTTAGCCAGTCCACCTGGGGGCAGAGTTGAACAGCCAGTTGTAAACTGTAGGAATGCTTTCCTTTCATCTGAAGACATGCCACATAAAACTTTCACAAACCTCAGGAAACCAGGGCTAAAAGAACAAAAATATAGTCATATTGATTTCACAGCAGATTTAAATGAAAAGCATTGCTAGTATACAGTAAGCTGACAATAAAAAAAATACTGACACACCAGAAGAATATGACTCTCTAAAAACTTTTAGTAAGAAATGGGCTGCCACTTTGTTAAGAAAAGAAGCACTAATGCAGTATAAGGGTCAAGCATTATGCAATGAAGCTAGTACATCAAGAAAGGTCAAGACATTTACATAACTAATCCAAATAAATGAATAAGTAATCAAATGGTACCTGAAATGATGATTTAATTACAGTGAAATGATAAAATTTACCTGTCATAAATTAATGTCATGGAATATACTATATATCAATTAACTGAGTTATAATAGGGAGAAATCTCAATAATGTTAAAGACTCTAAATCCTAAAGAATACATGCAGCTTTCAATATCTACAGGAGAACAGTTCATGGCTGCACAAGTCCCTTATATAAAATAGTGTATATAGTATTTGCAATAGCCTATGCATATCCTCCCATATACTTAAAATCATCTCCAGGTAATACAATGTAAAGGTTATTATGTAAAATTTCTACATCCTCTTAGCCTCTGAGGAATTGTTTTGCCCACTGAATGACTTTTTA